TACTATTATCATTATCTGTTCTGTATCATTATTATCATTTTTATTTGTGTTATTATATTATTGCTGTTCTTTTGGTTATGTTATTGTACTTTTATCATTCTCATTCTTGTTATTATCATCATTATTATTATTACTATGTTATTGTTATTATCATTATTGTTATTATAGTTATTGTTATTTTGTTATTATTGGTTTCATTATTATTAGCATTATTATTATTATTGATATTATCATTATTATCATTATCATTTTCATTATTATTAATATTAGTATCATTATTATTACCATTATCATTATCATCATTATCATCATCACTACTACCACTACTACTATCGTCATGATTATCTGATAATACTGATGGTAGCAATAAGAATGAAAATCATTATCATTCGTGTTCTTATTCTTCTTATTCTTATCATTGTTATTGTTATCAGATTTTATTATCATCATTTTCATTATCTTTATTATCACTATTATTATCGTTACTATTATCATTATGATTATGATTATTATCATTGCCATTATCAATATCATCATCATTATTATTATCAATTATTATCATCATTATTATCATCAATATTATCATTATCATCCTTGTTATTACATTCATGTGATTGTTATTGCTGTCATTTTCATTGTTATTGTTATCATCCTTAGTATCAATTTCATCACCATCATTGATATGGTAATAATTATCATCATCATCACCATCATTCTCATTATCATCATAACTATTATACGTATCATTGTTATCATCGTCATTATCATTATCATCAGCATCAATACGATAATTTTTTGTAAGATGATTCGTGCTGTTGGAGAAATAAAGCAATTCAAAAGCCTCATCTTTGGTTAAATTAATTTTCTAGTTTGCTCTGAAATGCTGGATTAAGATTCCTATAATAGATCTACGGCTTTTTCGGTTTGTTTGGGCCCAGCATCTGAATTTCAGGTTTCAAGTCAGTCAAATCTTATTTTCTTTTATTTTTTCATTTATTCTTATTCATTTTTTCATTCTTTATTATTGTTATTTTTTGTAGTATTGATTCTGAGATATAATTTCTTTCTTTAAATTTCAAGACCATCTTACCTATTTGTTTTTCCGTTTTCCTAATAGCAACTTTTTTTTTTTTTTTTTTTTTTTTTTTTTTTTTTTTTTTTTTTTTTTTAAGGATCTTAGTTCTCTTCCGTGCGTGCAAGCCTGAATTTCTTGCAAAAGTTGCGAAGGATTATTGCAGCAATTTTGTCCCGTCTGAACTTTTTGTACCCGCTCTGAGTTAAACATGAGCATTTAGATATAATATGAGCTAGTCTCGTCTTTTTCATGTCGCTGTCATGTTTGTCAATCACTTTCCTAGAGCAGTTTACCCTCGATGCCCGTAATTGGGACCATCATCTCCTAATGATGATAATGATGAGACCAACAACAACAACAACAAGGGAGTGAAGGCAGTCCGGTTACAATGCAGGCGCGATTTAAATTGAAACGTAATCATGGTAGTAATGATAATGATAGGAATGATAATAATAAAAATGACAATATCATTAATAGATGAATGATCATGATAATGACAATATAATAAAAATATGATAGTAATTGGTAGTGACACTAACAATGGTAATAATGGCAATAATAATGATGATAATACTAGTGATAATGATAATAGTAGTGATAGTAACATGGTAATGATGATAAAATAATGACAATAATAATGATAATAATAACGATGATGATGACGATAATGATAATAATAATAATGATAATAATGATAATAGTAATGATAATAATAATAATAATGATAATAATAAATAATAATGATAATAATAATAATAATAATGATGATAGTAATAACAATGATAATAAAAATAATAACAATAATGGTAATAACAATAACATAAACGATAATGATAACAATAACAATCATAATGACATTGATAATGATAACGATAGCGGCAACAACATAAAAACAACAACAATAAAAATGGTAATGATAATACAACTGCTACTACTGATAATAACGACAATCATAATGATAATGAAAATAATAGCAATGATAAGAATAATAGTGGTAATAACAATAATGACATTCATAATAATAGGGAAAATGATACAACTACCACTACTGATATTAATGATAATGACAACAATAATATCAGCGATAATGCTAATGATCATAATGACAACAAAAACAACAACAGTGGTATTGATAGCAATGATTATAATAATAATAATAATGGTAATGATACTGATAATGATAATAATGATAATGATAGAAGTCGTAATAATGATAATGTTAAAAATATAATGATGATTATTGATGATGATGATGATGATGATGATGATGAGATGATAAATAACAATAATAATGATAATAATAAAACATGATAATAATGGTAATGATTAATAAAATAATAAATAATAATAATGATAATAATAATGGATAATAATAATAATAATTAATAATAATAATAATAATAATAATAATTAATAATAATAATAATAATAATAATAATAATAATAATAATAATGATAATAATAATAATAATAATAATAAAATGATGATGATTGATATAATAATGGTGGATGATAATGATAATAATAATGACAATGATGATGATGATAATAATAAAAAAATGATAATAGTAATAATGATAAAGATGATGAGGATAATAATAAAAAAGATAATAGTAATAATGACAATGATGATAATAATGATAATAATAACCATGCTACTGATGAAAATAAAAAGTAAAGATAATATTACTAATAAAACTAACAGCGATGGTTATCATAATGACAATAATAAGAACGATATTCTTTATTCATATGCTATCTATTATCGAATATGATATAATTGCCATCTTTGTTCACTCAACTTTTACCATAACATGTACAATCATAACACTATCAATGTTATTTCATGTTCTCACGATCTTTATCCAAAACAACGAATCTAATCAGTGTCTTTATTATCATAATTTCATTGCCGCTCATCGGGTTGTTATCCTGTGTATTATTATAAGCAGTGGAGCTCTGTCATTATTTGCATCAGTGTTGTTATTACACTGAACATCATAATTCCTAATTGTATAATTCAGTTGTCATAATGTTGCTCAACAGAAGTTACACGGGAGATTTGCATACACATTTGTATAAACATGTAATTGCATATTCATTTCTGAAAACATACGCACATTTCCTTACGTCAAATGAATTTTTATGCTAAATTTTCGTGTTTGTGTGCATACGTAATGTGGGTACGAGACGGGGGGAGAGAGAGAAGAGAGAGCAGAGAGAAGAGAGATGAGAGAGAAGAGAGAGAGAGAGGGAGGGAGGGAGGGAGGGGGGAGGGAGAGAGAGAGAGAGAGAGAGAGAGAGAGGAGAGAGAGAGAGAGAGAGGAGAGAGAGAGAGGGAGGGAGGGAGTGAGGGAGGGAGAGAGAGAGAGAGAGAGAGAGAGAGAGAGAGAGAGTAAGAGAGGGAGGGAGAGGGGAGAAGCAGAGAGAGAGAGAGAGAGAGAGAGGGAGGGAGGGAGGAGGGAGGGAGGGAGAGAGAGAGAGAGAAGAGAGAGGAGAGAGGAGAGAGAGAGAGAGAGAGAGAGAGAGAGAGAGAGAGAGAAGAGGAGAGGGAGAGAGAGAGCAGAGAGAGAGAGAGAAGAGAGGGAGGGAGGGAAGGGAGGAGAGAGAGAGAGAGAGAGAGAGAGAGAGAGAGAGAGAGAGAGAGAGAGAGAGAGAGAGAGAGAGAGAGAGAGAGAGAGAGAGAGAGAGAGAGAGAGGAGAGAGGAGAGAGAGAGAAGAGAGAGAGGAGAGAGAGCGAGAGAGAGAGGAGAGAGAGGAGAGAGAGAGAGGGAGAGAGAGAGAGAGAGAGAGAGAAGAGAGAGAGAGAGGAGGTGGAGGGAGGGAGGGATGGGAAGGGAGGGAGAGTTATGGGAGAAGAGAGAGAGAGAGAGAGAGAGGAGAGAGAGAGAGATGAGATGAGCGAGAGTAAGCGAGACGAGGAGGAGAGTAGTATGAGAGAGAGAGATGGAGAGCGGGAGGGGTCGTACTAAATTGAGAGAGAGAGACGTCGAGACGAGATGATGAGGTAGAGCAGGGAGAGTAGAGGATAGGAGAAGAGATGAGCAGAGCAGACATGAGGTAATGAGGATGAGAGAGAAGATGAGGGAGAGAGAGTTTTATTGCCTTGTGCCTGAGAGAGAGAGAATAAGAGAGAGGAGAGAGTATGAGAAGGAGAGAGATGGTATAGAGAGCGACGTCTAGGAGAGAGAGAGAGAGAACGAGGAGATGGAGGTAGTAGAGGGAGAATGGTTCTCGTTGGTAAGTGATGTGTGTGAGTAGGAGAGAGAGGAGAGGGAGAGGACGAGAGGAAGTGTGAGAGAGACGAGCAGAGAGGAGAGAGAGAGAAGATGAGAGCTCAGCAGAAGAGGGAGGGAGGGCGAGGGAGGGAGATAGAGTACGAGAGAGAGAGAGAGGGAAGGGTAGATAAAGAGAGACTGGATGAGCCGAGAGAGAGAGGCTGAGGGAGGAGGGACGGGAGGGCGAGGAGGTGAGGGAGGGGGAGGGAAGGAGGGATGAGAGAGAGAGATGAGGAGAGAGAGAGAGAGAGAGGACTGAGTGAGAGAGCATTAGGAGAGAGAGAAGAGACAGAGAGAGAGAGAGAGAGAGAGAGAGAGAGGAGATGAGCGAATGGAGGGAGATAAGACAGGGGTGAGGGAAAGAGATGTATCAGAGATGACGAGGAGAAGAGATGAGAGAGAGGATAAGGTATGAGAGAAAGAGAGAGAGAGAAGAGATGCAAGAAGAGAAGACGAGGAGAGAGGAGAGAGAGAGAGGAGAGAAGATGAGAGTAGGAGACGAGACGAAGATGAGAGACGGACAGACAGACCAGTTAGATAGACAGAGTCAGAAAACACTGAAATACGCTGGACAGAAACATAAAGACTGAAGAGGACACATATCGACACAGGGAGAACAATCTGTAAGAAAAAGGGCGTGCGCAACATCAAACAACCTGTAGCATGAGTGCAAGACGCCTGGTGGTGCGTCGAGCAACCTCCCTCACCTCGCCGCGCACTCTCGCAGCACGACACGCCGGAGGCTTCTGTACATCCGATAACGAGATTAATAGAGATAATCAATCACGGTGGCGGATCCTCCGGCCGCATCGGTTCGCGGCCGTATAGTATGAACATGAGAACCAAGTATGTCAGATTCAGGGTCAGTCTCTATTCCATTGGAGAGCTGGACTGCAGTCGTCCCGCCTTCGCGACTGTCGGGCTACTATCCCCCCTCCCCCACCTGCGGCGCGTCGGTGGCGAGACGTCGCCCCGCATGGATGAGTGAGAGGAATGCCCATTCCGGCTCATCGGATAGCCGGCGATGTGCGACTGAATTGCGCAGGATGAATCTTGCCCAGCAGCTCCCCGCCGGTCCCTCTAGCGCCACGGTGCAGACTAGACGTGCCACCACTCCCCTCTCCCTGGCCACACAAAATGGTCTACTTCCTCTCTCGAATTTATCTTTTAAATCAAAGGCAGCTTCCAGGGAGCCGGAATCGCCCAATCCTCCCAAAAAGGATGAAGTTCTGCAGAAGTTTTGCTCTCGAACCCATGATTGCATTACCTCTTAAAACCATAGATAACGTTTTTCCACTTTCTCCATAAAAACGGAAATGGAGTCTCGTCCGGTGAAACCTGCCCGGCCGGACTAGCCTTCCAGATCTTGCCCGGTCGAGGGGAATGCCCGCTGGACTGAGGGGAACCCCGCCCGCTGGGCTGGGGAACCACGCTGGGCTGAGGGGAACCCACGCCCGCTGGGCTGAGGGGAACCCACGCCCGCTGGGCTGAGGGGAACCCACGCCCGCTGGGCTGAGGGGAACCCACGCCCGCTGGGCTGAGGGGAAACCCCATGTTTGGCCTGAGGGGCTTGCCCGCTGGACTGAGGGGAACCCACGCCCGCTGGCTGAGGGAACCCACGCCCGGCTGGAAAGAAGGGGACCCACGCCCGCGGGGGCTGAGGGAACCCACGCCCGCTGGGCTGAGGGGAAACCCACGCCCGCTGGGACTGAGGGGAAACCCACGCCCGCTGGCTGAGGGGAACCCAAATGCCCGCTGGGCTGAGTGGGAACCCCCACGCCCCTGGGCTGAGGGGGAACCCACGCCCGCTGGGCTGAGGGGAACCCAACGCCGCTGGCTGAGGGGAACCACGCCGCTAACTGGGAGGCGGAAACCCACGCCCGCTGGGGCTGGGAAGGTGGAACCAAGCCCGCTGGGCTGAGGGAACCCAACGCCCGCTGTGAGAAGGGAAACCCACGCCCGCTGGACTGAGGGGGGAGGGAACCCACGCCGCTGGGCTGAGGGGAACCCAAGCCCGCTGGGCTGGAGGGGAAACCCAACGTGGGCTGAGGGGAACCCACGCTCCCGCTGGGGAGGTTAACCCACGCCCGCTGGGAGCTGAAAGGGGAACCCACGGCCCGCCTGCTGAGGGAACCCAATGGCTGAGGGGAACCCACGGCCCGCTGGGCTGAGGGGAACCCACGCCCGCTGGCGAGGGGAACCCCACGCCCGCCTGGCTGAGGGGGAACCCACGCCCGCTGGGCTGAGGGGAACCCACGCCCGGGCTGGGGCTGAGGGGGAGACCCACGCCCGCTGGGCTGAGGGGAACCACGCCCGCTGGGAACCCACGCCCGCTGGGCTGAGGGGAACCCACGCCCGCTGGCTGAGGGAACCACCGCCCTGGGCTGAGGAACCCACGCCCGCTGGGCTGAGGGGAACCCACGCCCGCTGGGCTGAGGGGGAACCCACGGCCCCTGGGCTGAGGGAACCCACGCCCGCTGGGCCTGAGGGAACCACGCCTCTGGCTGATGGAACCACGCCCGCGCTGAGGGGACCACGGCGGGCTGAGGGAACCCACGCCCCTAGACTGAGGGAACCCACGCCCGCTGGGCATGAGGGAACCCAAGACCCGCCTTGGGCTGAGGGAACCCACCGCCCGCTGTGAGAAGGTGACCACGCCCGCTGACTGAGGGAACCACGCCCGCTGGCTGAGGGGAACCACACCGCTGGGATGAGGGAACCCACGCCCGCTGGAAGAAGTGACCCAGCCCGCTGACTGAGGGGAACCCCACGCCGCTGGACTGAGGGAACCCAAGCCCGCTCTGAGGGAACCCACGCCCACTACTGAGGGACCCACGCCCGCTGGCTTGAGGGTAACCCACGCCCGCTGGCCTGAGCGTGAACCCACCGCCCGGCTGGAAGAAGATGACCCACGCCCGCTGGACTGAGGGAACCCCACGCCCGCTTACTGAGGGGAACCACGCCCTGGACTGAGGGAGAACCACCCCGCTGCACTGAGGGAACCCACCCTGCTGGAATGAGGGAACCCACGGCGCTGGATGAGGGGAACCCACACCCCCTGGAATGAGGGGAACCCACGCCGCTGGCTGAGGGAAACCCACGCCGCAATGGACTGGCAGGGAACCCCACACCCGCTGGAATAGAGGG